GAATCTCACCGTATCACTGCTTATTGGCACATCATCAGTACGACCATCAGTATTAGTTGGCAAGATGCCTGATGTTGGCCTTGTTTAATAAACTGCAGCAAACCGGAATCAGTTTATGGATCCCGATCTCGAGCAAACTCGTTTGCTATGGAAGATGTACTCACTGTAATGAAAGGAAAGTTTATAGCTGCCGATAAAGTGTGAAAGTTTTCGTAAGGTCGCATCAAAAATCTTTCGATCGGAAAATTGGTGTCGACTAACATATTCTAATATTCATATTCTAAAGTTTACTCGATGTCGTAAAAGCACAAAGCGTTGTCAGGCACGCTGTTGTCGAGAAATTTTTGCAAGAAATTCTAAAACCACTGACATTTTTCCGGGAGAACAGTCTGAGTTTGTCAGTTGCAGCGAAAGTGCACGGTTGTCACAGAAGAGAATCCTCTTATAAATAGATGCCCCTTGTGTGACATTGTACTTGTAAGCATTGTTTCTATAGAGCATTGCGCTGGATTCCTTTGAATTGATCTTCGCTTTTATTATCATGTTATCGGGAAATGCCGACCATTACATTACATACCCCACACAACATTATCTAACACAATTCTTACTAAATTATGGGTGAATTTCCAACACCACTTATTAAAACTCAGACTTTTCTGCTCCATAAAAGATTAATTTTCGTGAAACCCCTTATTAGAGTAGGATCCAAAAAATAGGCCGAGATGGTCCAAATTACTATTATGATATAAGTTTTATCGTGAAGGATTGCAAATTATACCTTATTGTCGTATGAAGTTCAGTTGCCACAGCCCCACCAAAAAGTTTTCGTATCAATTTAGAATGACTAAATACTACTTACTACTTAGCCGCTTTTGCCGAGAAATTTTGAAAATTACAATTTTTTCTGTTTAACGACTTTTCTGAATAGGGCGTTATATAAAAAGTGTTAGAAAATGTGAACCGATCCCAACGATTTTCAATAGCGTTCGTCCCTGGATCAAAACCCGTCACTGTACCAAGCTTCATCGCAATATCTCAAAAATTGCGACCTGAAGCTTGAACATAAATTTACACAGACAGGCATTAGACAGGCAGACAGACTTAGATCAATTCAGATTGTGATTCTGAATCGATCGGTATAATAAAAGGTGAATCTATCACAGGCCCTTCTGCGTGTTACATTTATCCGAAACAACTTAACATACCCTATACCACAAGTGGTGTAGGATATACAAGTAGATTAACTGTGGTTTTTGGCGACAATTAATTTTGCGATCGTCATATTTGTCTTTTAAATATATTGACGGCAGTGATTATACATTATTTACGAAAATTCCTTTATTTTAGTTTCTTGAATATGAACGTTTGAAACGTTTGCACTTGAACAGAATCCTAATGCTAAAAAGGATGATAAATTGCGCGTATCTCTCTCTCTCTCTCTCTCTCTCTCTCTCTCTCTCTCTCTCACTCTCTTCCTCTCCCTTTCTCTTTCTCTTAAAAGTATAAGATCATTTACAAAATGATGTCTCTGAAATCTCAGGAAAACATTAAAAGAATTTCTCAGACAGAATTTATTTAAAAATTGTAGTTTCGCAAGGGCTCAGTAATTCATACTATTGAAAATTTATGCGTGGAAAGATATTGAAAAGAAAAATCTACGTAAAGGGATCGATTTTAGCTTTTTTGGACTTGATAAATAAGCTCCGAAAATTGGCAATGTTATGTAACAACGAATCATTAATTTGAAACACTGCAAAGAGCTAAATGCAAAAAAAAAAAAAAAATTGAAGACGGACTTTAAAAAACCGCGTATTACTAAAAAAATATACAAAAAATAGAATTTGTCGCTCAAAAGCGGCTTCTTCTAAAAATGGAAAGTTGTGCTTCTTTCTGTTCATAGAGCTTTAAAGGCTTTAAAAATTCTAAGCCTGTTCCAAGTTAGTGTGCTTTAGCCGGTTATACAAAGAAAATCGTGATAAGGACGATAGCGTGCGTAATCTGAAGACAGCAAAGGTTACTCCGTAAATTTCATGGGAATAATTTCACTCTGATCAAATTAATTACATCAACGCTAAGACTATCCCATCCCTGCTGCAAGCAATGAATTCCTTCAAACTCGGACGATCATCTATTGTAAACTACGATACATCATGGCGACATTTTGGGTTTCTTTGAGTTTCCTGACACTTCCCTGCTTAAGATAACTGCACCACTTAGGCATTCACTTCAATTCCATTGTTTCATAATCATACAAAAATATTTGGAAATTACTTCATATATATTTCCTTATTCAGCCTGAGTTGGCTCTCGCAGCAATATAAATCACTCACTTTTTAGTAAGTAAGAAAATTCAATTCCATCAGGCCCGAATTGTTTGTACACGTTACCGTCAGCTTAAAAGAGACAAAAGAAGTAGAAGAACAAAATTGTCGTGCTCCTTAATTTGCACTGCGTGCAGCTGATTTCTTCCACTTCCAAAATAAAAGTTTTCATCGTATAGGCATGGGCGTTGTAGGCGTGTGCTTTGAAAAGTTTAGATCAATTCTAAATTCTTTTACAAATTTATGGGCGATATCTTCATTTTTGCTAACGGAAGAATGTTTCCCACAAGTATTGCAAAGTTACGCAAACATACAGATGGACAGACGAACAGGTGTTTAGGTGCATTGCAAATTTGACACTGGTAAAGAATTTGCATCCTTTTTGGGGTTTTTGAAGCTTTATAAAGCTTTATAAGGAAAAAAATTTAATTTTGATACACCGTAATATTGGGCAGGCGTGGTCGATTTTTTCCATTTTTATCGCTCATAGAATAAGCGATCAAATTTTTGGACATTGACTTGCTATAGTTTATGAGTAACGACCAACAAACCAATGCTTCATTATTTTCGAAAAACAGAGATGTTCTCAGTTTACGTGGTGCTGTGCGCATGTTCGTTGACCAATTTGGCCCGTTTTCAATGCCACAGCCACGATCCTTGTTAATTTTTAATGGACTGCCATTCGGCCATTGTAAAGGGTGACAATCTAATGATGCTAAGGTCATGTAGTGCGGCCCAAAACAAATCATTTTGCATTTTTTTGAAAAGTCGTTCAATGTTTTTCTTCTTTTTTTTTTATTGGACAGGACCTAAACATTTCAATTCCCGTTCAGCTTCTCCTTGCTCGAAATAACATTACCTAAGAATGATTGTGAACATAATTGACAAATTACGTTCACTATAGAATGCTTTATGCACTATGTAGAATGTTTTACGAGCTAATGACGTCACAATTCTCTTTTTACATAAGACTTTCCATCGTTCGATTTTTGGACTACTGATATCACCGCAAACACGTGCTAGCGTACTCACAGATGTCTTACCAAAGGATATACTGCTCCATATACGAATGGTAGGTGCAAAGCATGCTTACTTAAAGGCCATCAAATGCAGTCGTGACTTAAAAATAGAACGTTTTGCCTGAAATTCGAGATTATCGGTCGTGGTAGTAAGTAAGTCATCAACCAAAATTCAGTTGAAATTAGGACATTGCGATTCAGAATTAGAATTTGAATCCATTAACTCAAGAAAGTCGAACGTTGCTACTGTAATATTTTGAAGTCATCTATTGAAATTCCGAAACTATAAATTGATTGATCAAGAAGATCTTATAATTATCCGACCTGCCCTTAAATGAGGTTTTCCTTAAACTTTTCCCTTGAACGGGCTTATTGGTGCTGTCGTGTATTGTGGCATTTCTGGTTCTTTAGACTGAATTTCGTTGAGATAATAATTAGAATCTTCTTACCTGTACGTTGCAGGTTGTAGGCAGTTGAAAGAAAGGAGGCGCTGACTTCATTTATATCAACTCAGCGATGAGATGAACTTGTCTACCAGCATAGCTGAACATATAAAACTCGTAACTATCAATCAGTAGACCATACTTTGTAAGCAACTGCTTATACAATAGTGATTTATACTTACTTCCGTTTTTAATACTTTAAGCCTAAAATATCGCTTTATCTTTGCCGTTTGCTTCTGATTGATATTCTTTGCCATAGTTTAAGTCTTGCACTTGAGTTCATTTATTAGCATAAAAATTTTCTAAAGAACTGTTTGTTTTGGAGTTGGCTTTGCTCGTCAACGATGATCTTCTCTATAATTGCGTAGTTTAGGCTTTAACCTTCAGAGCGTATGGCTAAACGTATATCGTAGCGCTTAATGAATAAATAAATAAATGAAATGAAGTGAAACTTGTTTGTACTTACGGCTATGGATTGTGCGGTCTATGAATGAATCCAGCTTTTAATTAAATTAAGGAAAGTACTTTAGGAAAATATTCGAACGTCAATAATACTCTATATTGAGAGGAAGCTTCAGATCTCCTTTAAGCCAATTTTGCTCATCGCGGCTTTCTATCCTAAATTGTTAAGTGCGATTTCGCAATAAAACATTTTAATATGCATTCTGAGATTATTTTTTTAAATTGAATTTATTTCATTCAAAATATAAAAATCCTCCATTCAGGCAAAGCAAGAAGAGGAAAAAATTTTTCATTTTATTACAATCTTTTTAGCTACGAAATAAAACAAATTTTTGGAATGTTGCATTTATAGTAGAGTAGAGTAGATTTTTTAGTAAAATTTGTACAAGAAAATATAAAAGAATTAATTATTAAAAAAAAATTATACAAAAATCTTCGCAGGTTTGATTAAACTGAACTAACTAAGTAAAGATTTATTATTGTTAATGTTATTTTATTATTTTCGTAATTCTTCACTTTATGTCAATATTAAATATGGGTTTATTTACAACAATTAGTGACTAAATATAAATTTGATTTATTGAAATAACGTTTAATTGAATTACAACTTTCCACGAAATCTTTCTTTTTCGCTTTATGCGCGATTGGAATAGTGAATCAATTTTTTTTTTTTTTTTTTTTTTTTTTTGTAAATATAAATAAAAAGTCTTTGGTTAAATTTGGTTTTATTTAATTTAAATACATGTACATATAAACATTTATACAAATTTTAACAATTCGTTTGCTTTCCTTTTGTCTTATCCATATATAATTCAAATTCGCAAGTAATTAGGGTGACCCAGAAAAGTTTATAAAAATTTCTAAAATTTACCAACGGTACTGTTTGAAATAACTCCCGATTGATAAAATAATTAGAAAGCGTAAGATATCCTTTATTTATTCGTCCAGCTAGCCTTCCATTGTCTTATGTATATATCACATCACTCAATATATTCGTAGAACGATGTGCAGATGTAGGATTGACAAATAGTCATCTGGCGACATCTATACGTCATCTTACAAATCTACTGAGCGATGTGTTATTTAGAGAAAGTACACTTATGCAGAATTCGGAATCTGCGCCACGGACTATTATTTGTCAATAGTCATCCTACGAGCTTATTGACCGATCTCTTAATTAGATAAAGTAAAAAAAAAAGAAACAAAATTCGGAACCGAGAGCTAAAATTTAATCCAAAAGCGAATGTTTGGCAAGATTGTAGCTAATCTATGGCAGGTGGTAATGTAAAAGTTGGTACTAACATTTATCACTAAGAAATGCAGAACAGCAATTCAAACGTTCATAGGCGAAAAAAAGACTTTGCGTTCGCTGCTTCCTTATTTGTGATTCCCTCCACCACAAACAAAATCTTTTTATAAATCCTGAGTTGTATTAATTAGAACGCGAGAGATTGCTTGGGTTTGAGATCAAATAATCAAATGAGTTTCAAATGAAATTGGCTTACAAAAGGCGCCAAGAAATGCAAAAGTAAGTCCGAGATCAATAAATTGCTTAAATTGCAAATAGTTGTTCAGATTATAGGCAACAATAGAACGCAGTGTACTGACGTATCATTTGATTGGCAACGATTCGATATTAGCCAACATAACTATGACGCGGGGAATAAAGAAAAGCAAACCTCAAGCTTGCGGACGACTCTTAGAAGGTTTTCAAATTTAATCAATTCAAATTGCTATTAAGCAATGTGAAAACAGGCAGAGGTTGTCTAGAAGCTTAAAAAAATTCCCAAAGCTAGGCTGGGAGATTCGAGAACTATAGGGTTATTATTAACTAGAAATATACTACATATATATGCTCTTCTTCTTTTTAAAAGGTATTCACTGAGTCAACAACAAGATGATTCGCTGCATCATATTGGCAAAGGTATAAATATATGAATATTTTCTAAAAAAAATTTTAAATCTGAGCTCTTCACGTGTAATTTTCTTGTTCTGGTTGTAGGGACACCCTTTACTTTAATATTTTTTTTATTATTAGATTTTAATTTTGATTTTTTTCTCTTTGATATGAGGTTTGATTGATGGCCAAGACATATAATATAGTTCCCTCTTTCAAATATTTTTTTGCTTATATGTGTTATCTTCTATTAAATTTCTTTGGTATTTTGCGTCTAAGACTTAAATTGTGTGAAATTTTGCATTTTCTCTGGAGTATTATTCAATATTGCACGCGTTTGTTGGTTGGTTGGTCAGCGTGGTTCTTCTTGTTGTCGTTATAAACCCTGCTACATGTGAGAAGGCATCACGATTACGCGTTGTACCGGTAATGAAGGCTGAAATTGTTGCTGAGAATGAGGATGATGCTGATGATGATGATGAGGATATTGAGGCTGCTGGTGTTGGTGTTATACTAACAATGATACTTTTTGACAATTCATTGCTGACAATTGTGCATTAATTGCAGCATTTGCGACAGCTACAGACGCTGGTGTAGTCGTTGAGGCTGTTGTTGCCGATACTGTTGTACTGTGCATTACACCGTGCTGTATAGCACTGTTCTGTTGATCGGAAGTTGCAGCAGCAGCTGCGGAGGCGGCAGCCGCCGCAGCCAGAAACTCCACTTTACCCATATTTCGTTCAAGTAACGGTCGTAAATCTGTATGTTGAGTTTCCTTGTGACGTCTTAAATCCACTTTGCGTTGAAACGATTTATGGCAAAGCTTACATGAGAATGGTTTGTAGCCGGTATGTTTGCGGGAATGTGTTATGAGATTTGAACTTTGACTGAAGGCTTTGCCACAAACTTGGCACTTGTGCGGCTTCTCACCTAACGGTAAGCAAAATACGAATTCAAATGCATTATTTATTTTTTAAGTGGTTAAAAACATAAAGAATATCTTCAAGTTTATGTAATACGTATCCTAAAATCTTCGCTCAAAAGTCTCCCTTTGCGTATGTAAACACGCACAAACTCAGAGACCATCATCACTGCAAAGCGTAAATTTAAACACCAATTTTTGTCTTTTAAACGTATACTTGTGGGTTGACTTTAATATCAACATATTGCATCCTACATAGAAAGTGTGCCCCCATTTTGCTCTCTTCATCCACCCTTTCCCCCCTCTCTCTATCTCTCTCTGTCTGTCTCTCTCTCTCTCTCTCTCTGTCTCTCTCTCTCTCTCTCTCTCTCATTCCACCCTTATTTTATTTGACTTTGATTTAAAACGAAATTTTTGTTTAAATCGCACGTAAAAGTATTTCTCTTAAATTTCCCTAAAATTTCCTTTTACAATATCTTTTATTTGTGGTTTTTGAGGCTTCTTTTAATGCTTCTTTTATCGCCTTTAAAGAAGAAAATCTTTTAAAACTGAATTTGTTTTTCTTTAATTCATGTTCACCATTGGATAATGGCGGTGTATCACTATAGTATTAGAATGAATGTTTGAATATGCAACATGATGTCGTGGTCGATAAGTTTTTTGAGCATAAGCTCTAAAGTAAGAGAAATTGAAGCAGCCTGGCACCAGCGCCCCCAAAATTGATAAATAAATCTTATACATTTAACGGATACGCTACTGCACATGAGTTTGCAATACATTGGGAGCATTCAACATGCGGCTTGCTCCCCAAACTCGAGTCCTTTCGATTACCACTGGATTGCATCGATGAGTTATGCACTTGCTGCGTTGCGCTTCACTTCTTACGAAAATGACGCGATTACCGCTTAGCCTCAAAAGGATAACAGTTTTTTTCTTGGCGTCCACAAATTATCGAACAGGGCGGAAAATAGTATAACTAGCGGTGGGCAATGCTGCGAATAAAATATTTTTAATCATTTCTATTATACTCTAGCAGGGTATATTTCGCTTATGTGGATATATGCAATAACGAGAAGGCGTTAAGTTAAGTCCTCCTTTTATTATACCGATCGATTCAGAATCGTTTTTTAAGTATGTATGACTGTCCGTCTGTATGTCTGCTACTTGTCAAATCTATTGTTGAGATCAATCTGCACGTCGCAATTTTTAAGATATTTTACCGAAATTTAGTACATTGATATGTTTGGACCGATGGGCGGAATGTTATCAGTTTGTAAACTGATAAAAAAATTTAGACTGGATGGGCTGATGTTTTGCATCCGCTCTTATAACGCCGATCCTAGCAAAAGTAAGCCTTTATGCGCAAAATGTTCGGAATTATAATACTTTACATTGAGAATTGAAGTTTGATATGAAAGTCATTTCGCTTATGCGCGTCTATTTATCGTATCCCAATCCCTTTACGGGTCCCCATGAGAAGTAAACATATATTCGATAAAAAGAAATATGTTTTTTAATTTTCTTTTGGAAAATGTTGGATTATAATAATTCGACCTAGGAATTGACCGTAATAAACTTGGACCACGGAAATCTGGTTCTCAAATTTCATCTCATGTAAGGGTCCCCGTGAATGGGAAGACTTTACATGACAGCAAACTCTAATTTTAACGACTTCGTGAAGAAAATAGGTAAACAATTATAATTTTCATAAAAAGATTAAATTTGATAATTTTCATAAGCGCTACGCCGGTTTCTAAGATGCGAGAGACAGATATTTAAGTACATTGCAATGATTGGTTTTTACTTTATATTCCCTAAAGGTAAGCGATTCTTACTTCCATGCATTAAACGTGTGACGCATTTTTCGAATGAAGATGTTAAATAAATAACTTAAATTTAAGAGTCACTGAGCTGTTGCTAATTTATTTCGCTTGTACGGCCTTCTTCAATGAACTGAAATTTTCGAGCAAGACATCAGTTTTAGACACTAACTCGTGTCTCTAAAATGCCTTCTGGTCTACGTTACTATAGCAATTTTTCTTTACTTTATATTTTCAATATAATCCGTAACAAAAATAATAAAAATGTAAATGATCTGAAGATTTTCTATATAAACATTACAGAACATGGAAGGAAAAACAACAAAAGAAGTCGCCTCACAATGTTCAATGTTGAAGAGAAATAAGTAAATAGTTGAGAAGAATATGTGAAAAATATTTTACATAAACAAAAAAAAAAAAATTCTGTTACGTAAAAGGCAAGAAGATGAAGAGGAATAAGACTACGGAAGCATCTATGTATTGCGACTATGACAATACTTGTCTCAGAATGGCGTTGAGTAGTTTTATTTGATTGTACATGAAAGCACACCACACGTATACTTTAACATGTACACTGCGTAGTTATTCATTTGTTCACAAGTGTGTGCGTGTGCGTGTACCGACTGACTGTGATAAATAATAAAGTTTACTTTGCATTTTGCTCTTATATTTTGCTTTGGTTTTATCCAAAGCGGTTGCTCAATTCTTACAATTGGATATAGGGCAGTGGGTGGCGTTGGGTTCTGTGAGGCAAGACAGGGTTTAAGATTTCTTAGTCGTTTAGTTTTTGTTGGTTTAAGTTAAACGGTATAATCTGTGCCTTGGTACGTGACGTTATCTAAATCGTACAAGTATAAACGTGCTCGGAGTATAGAAACAAAAAACTGTAAACACTAGCTATTCGTAAGTATCTGTGTATATGAAAATGGAGTAATATCAATGAATGTAACTAGAATGAACGCTTTGGTCTGGTCTTTTAAACCTTTTGACTAACATCGGCTATAATTCAGCGAATTCCATCCGCAGGCTCTTACGTTGCTTTATATATATATATATATATATACGTACATCAGCAGAGACTACCACTAGTATACATCAAATGCTGTAATCAAGGAATACAAATACAGCAGATTGTTAGCGTAATGGCACTGCAACTTGTATATTATATATATATATATATATATATATATGTACATATATGATTTTCTTCTGTTTTATATAAATGAAATGAATCCTTTCCTAAGACTGTTGTGAATCAGAGCTCATCCCAACGGTCGAATGTTTCACACAATCACGTCCCTGCAATTCCATTATGTTCTTTTCACAACTAAACCCTGCTACGTATAAATGTAGTTTGTAAATGTAAACGTGCACTCCCATACCTACTCAAATTTATACGTGAATATATATACATATATATGACTACCTATATATAATCATGGTAATGATAATGATTATGCGAACAGTGCGAGAGTATTTGCTGTGAGTTTAGTTTATACATGCTTTTAAGTTTTTCAAGATATTTTCTTCTTTTTTCTATTTTTTGCACATTATATACTTGAATCTGTCCTGCTTTTGTATGCGTACACATAGAAAATCAAGAACGATTTTGTATATAATGTATGCTTAACATGTGCAATCATTCCGCCGTTGGTAGGGTGCAGTTGATGGTGTTAAGCAGAGGCCCGGAAAAAATCTCATACAGAACATTATTGAAAATCTCTACAAAATGCTGCAAGGATTCAAATTGTATGATAGTTGATGTGCTTACGTACTTGACTATGTTAAATGTGTATATACATGTATATACATACATATATATATATGTATATGCGCGTGTGAGAAAGAAATACGTTGTTCTGATAGAGTGAATATAATTTAAACTTATTGTTGGAAAATAAATCACAAGTAGAAAGAAAAAAGAAAAGTTTTACGCACATAAATACACATAAGATATAAGAAACTCTTTGTTTTCATTAAAAGTAAATATCTTATCTTATTTAAGGGACTTAAATGATTTAATTATCATTTCATAAAAATTCTAAAAGAGTTTTTTTACCACTAAAATTTTAAAGGATATTAGTCCAGCTCTCTCTCTCTCTCTCTCTCTTGACACTCCTCCCTACAACTGGAAATATGTACATGTGCGCAGTATATTTATATCAATGCTTCACAGGGTCGTTCACCAGATCGTTTGGTGTAACAAAAGCCATCGTTTCAGTAGTAAACGTTGAATTTTAAAATTCAATCTAATAAGAAAACCAAGGAAATTATATCGAAAAAGAAAATTTTGAATTTTCAAGTCCTACGGGAAAGCTCGAAACTGTCTTTTAACGAAACGCAAGCCTTCAAAAAATAGACGATTGTTGACATGATTATCGTTTGCCAACGTTTGCCAAGCCAACGACAAACGATGCGGAAATTCCGGAAATTCTACATTCGAGTACCATTAACTTATTACTTTATTGAGAACAATCAATCACAAATTGAAAGCGAAGTTCTTGCTAACTCAATAATGGAAAATTCTGGAAACACTTGTCTAATGTATAAAAGTAAGGCGTGGTAGTTCAGTTTGAAAGGAGAACCACTTGTAGAATGTACAGAAGTATGATATGTTCAACAGACTTTCGAGCGGGGAAATGCACGAGAGCGACATCTGGTGTAATTGTTGGAATTTATGTAATTATTAACGCAAACTTTAACTTTAACAATGTTGTACAGAGAAATCAAGTGGGCTTTAAATTATGCACGTAAAAATTGCTGAAATTGTTGTGCAATTTTGTTGCTTTTTAGAGAATGAAGTTCGTCTTGATTGCAACTTTTTTTTCCAATTCGTTATGAGCATTTTAAAACTGCTTGAAAGCGAAATCAAAGCGACAATCAGTAAATTGAACAAAAGCAAGTTGTATGGCAAGGAAATTTAATATGAAATTAATCTTAATAAAAGAAAAGGTTAACGATATGTTGTTGTGTGAAGTAAGGCGAAAGGCATCAGACGTAAGCTAGCGTAAGAGAGATGGATCATGGATTGGGCTGATGATGTGCAATTCATGTATACCTGAAGAATTAAGTTACAGCAAGGGATTACTAGAATGAGAAAAAGGAAAAAATGTCAATATACAACAAAATATGTCGGCCAACTTTCAGTCATGGAAAACCCTTAAAAGGGCAATCTTACGGTCTATTACGAATAGTGTTAGAAGTTCTGGAATTTCTCACTTTGGAGAGAATGATAATAAGTGAACGAACGACTGCAAGATTCTGGAAAGAGACTGCGAAAGAGAACAATGGTCAACGTGATAGATACTAAACGATGCGAAAACGCGCAAAGGAGCCCGTGTAAAACAAAGAATGGTTCAATGATTCCGGACCTAATTTTCATACATCAAAGCAAAGAGATTTCCTTAACATTTTCGTAGAAGAAGAGCTTTCTTTATAAAGAGAAGATGTCGTGCCATTTCGAAAATAAACTTCGCATTGATTACAACTATGTTTCTAAAATTGTTGCTTTATAGAATTATCGCCGGACGCAATATCAATGAGCATATGATTATTGCGATAGCCAACAAGGAAAATATCTGTAATCTTCCTTAGTTGTACTTTATCCTTGTGGTTTAATGGTATTCTTCACTTGTTTATGTACTTGCACTAAAATATAGAAAATGTGGTAAAAATTCCTAAAATTGAAAGCAGAAAACGATAAAAATGTCTGAAAGACATTAAGACGCTGATTTTTACTGATTTCTTTTTCCACAACCGGGATTTACACACAAACCAAACCGAGCGGCTATGGGTAAAAGAGGGTTGCTAGATAGGAAAGCGTGGACGAGACACGATTCAGTGGCAAAGGGTGTGGGAGGTTGAAAGTCGTTTTCGAGTAAGCAAAAGTAAACACGCCGCATACAATATGGCAGTCGACGCAATTCAGTGATTTTCTATGCATTGTGCCATTTTCTGTTAAAACCGAAATGGCTGAGTATATACGCACACACACGCAGGCATACACACATAGACACTTGCTTGCATACAACCGGATACATGAGTAGATTCTCTGCAATAGGTTGCTTTGGGGGGTTTCGTCTTTCAGGTCATTCTATTGAATGGAAAATGAGTTAAATGCCAGCAAAACAAGCTGACACATTGCATGCTTGTGTGAGTGAGTTGTGCAGCCCAGCATGCGAAATCAAGCAGCTTTGACTAAATTTTTCATTGGTTGTCTGAGATTTCGTTTTCATCACACCAGCACGCACCCATTGTTGTCATAGTCTGATTCTCTCCAAGTAAGTAAAAGACTGCCTGTGTTTTTCATTTACTCTCATCTCATTTAAAGCTTTAGCTTAGTCTTATAGCAACAAAGTACACAAATGAACATATATGAGTGAGCATTGATATTTCATTGTTTTAAAAGCGTTTGTTGTTATTGCCTATTCCATGTTCCATTTCATGTTCCTCTATTCAGTACTCGTTCCTCTTTTCTTTTTTTTTTTGGTTTTGATTTTGACAAATTTGCTAATGCGCGCACTCAACAAACCATCAATGTTGAAATTTTTTAGTACGCGTTAGTGCAAGTATGTGTGTCTTTTGTGTGAGTATATTTTGAGTTTTTATGCACGTGCTTAACGGTGTTGGGGATGTGGAGAGCTTCTGGTATGTACATACAACATTGAGTCTTTCTTTATAGTAGATTTGAAAAAGGGCTGCAGTAAGTGTCATGAAGTGTATATACATACCGGGTTGGAGATTCTGCCATGTGTCATCAGCACTAAACAGGATTTTATGGAATTTATGTGTTATAGCAGTGTATATAAATGTGTGTGTGTATGTATAATGTATGCGAATGAATACCTCTATGTATATATACATTATATATATACATATATATATATATATATATATATATAATATAACGACTGGCACTCAGTTGTGCTGATTTCCCATTTATTGAATTTATGTGGTTTAAAAAAACGAGATTTCATATATTTAGCATTTCAAGGATTTTTATTAAATTGAAATTGAATTTAGAGCAAAAATGTTTCGCGTATTAAAAAAAAAGAAGAGATCAGAGCAGTAAGCTCTTAAATTGATTTCAGTAATTTCATGCATGAAAATTTAGTGTATTTTCAGGAATTTGCTATAAATACGTATTTAATTTAATAAATGCTTTCTGGACTTGTATTTATTAGTTTTTTCGTTTTTTTTTTTTTTCTTTGCAAGTAGCGATGCTCGTAGAAGAGTTACGTTCTAAAGATCCTAAAAGACACACATAAATTAAGCGGATGAAAGGATCTTACAGACTGTAAGACCTATTTTACCCCTATTTTTGGGACAGTAAAAGCGACAAAGAAACCCAGGGATTAAAGGATCAAGATCCTTCCAGAGGTATTTCGAAAGCTTTTGTAATGTCCAAATTTTTTGAGAAATACATGTGCCGCACACAGTACAACTTTTTGCCCAAACCTCGGTATTCTGTAAGGACATTCTGACTGAATTATTTCGGAAATTCGTCGTTGAATTTGTTTCTAAATTGTAAAGTGAAACGTGTTCAATGACAAAATTAACGTCCAGAGCGTTGTTTAATGTCTGTTATCCATTTATGTTTTCATCTCAAATATTCTTCAATGTTGCTGGCATTCTCAATAGCTCTTTAAATGATGCCTACTTTTTTTTTTTACCGATAAAAATGATTATACCAAACGTTAACAAGGCAACAACTGTTGTCATAATAGAAAGAGCGAAGGAAAAAAAGGAAATTCTTTGAAGTTAGGAAAAAACTAGAATAACAGAGAGAAAAACTTGCGTGACTAAAAAAATACGCAGATAAAGAAAAACAATAAATAGTTGATTAGTAATTTATTTAGTAAATTTTGCTTTTGTGCTTAGAAACTCATTTCGAACTTTACACTAATTGCATTCGCTTTTATTTTAGAATGAAGAAAATCAAACGTTTCGCAAAACGTGTGACATTTTTATCGAACCCTGCACAGAATTCGGATGAAGAATACAAAAAAAATGGCGTAGAATTCATGCGAAATTAAGTTTGGCTTTCTAGCTTTGCTTCACTTTCAACAAACATATGAGGTCTTTCATTTCAAAATAAAATAAAATACGCATTTTTCTGAAAACAAAAAAGTTAAGTCACTAAACAAATCACTAATGTAAAAGTGTGCTCTCCTTTCCATTTCCACACTTTTTTAATAAGATAAAGATTTTCTTTGTATTGGTTTCGTTTTCTAGGGACTTTAATGTCCCCTCACTGATTTCTATTTACGATTGGTGTAATTGTTTTTGTCCGCAAAGCAAAAACTTGTCATCATGTGTACAGCTATAAAGAATTGAAGAAACACTATATATACAATTATTTTAATTCTATGTAGCGTTGAATCTGTGCACTAATATCATAAGGTATACATTATTCTTAAAAAAAAAAAAGTATGACTTTTCTAATTTAGTCTTCAAAACTCACGATATAATTAAAATGGTTAAATGATGACTACACCGATTCTGAATACCACACATATTAGCAGGGAAAGCTTCAATAAGTATTTTTCGCTTTCTAAAGGGATGGTGTAGCGATGAATACAAAAAGAAAACAGCAGAGTTTTTCGCTTTAGCGAGTTTCCTCTCAACAATTGCTTAGCTGAGTTGTTAGGAGGGACATTCAACTCTTTTCTTGCTTATCAAGAAAATATAGCACTTTAAAACTCGAGCTCGGGCTTGAGAAAATGTGGTATTTTCAGTTATAAACGAAACAATTGTGTTCAAAAAGACCTGTTCACCGCAACGGGTGTGATTACGCAATCAAAGCCATTATCTTGATTGACAGTGTTTATGACAAGTACTGATTCTTGTCTGCTATTAGTCAAGGCGATTGTGCACATTTGCAGGTTCAGGCGTTTTTATACGAAGTTTACACACGTTATAGATGCCTACATCGTACTTACACTTATAAACGATTTCAACATTTTCACACTTCAAAAGAAAAAGTTCCTCCGCAAGTAACGAACGAAAGTGGAACTTCCATACGGAAGCTATAAAATGCATGAAGTCGTTTAGAACGAGACTAAGAACTCCTCAGGATTGCCATTAGAAAGCTCCACGTTTTGCAAGGAAACTAGTATATGTGCTATAGTGCTTTGCAGGTTTCTATTTACTAATATATAACCGATCTCTAAAAATACATTGTAGTGCTTACGCCAAAAAGATTTCTTTTTATGCCAAAAATAATGTAATGTAATGTAATGTTACTTTGCCAATTATTTCATTCAGAAGTTTTCTTGATCTGCACGATCCGATATGTAGCCTCAGCTTGTTCCGGCTCCTTCAAAGTGTTACTTTCCTTTACAACTTCTAGGCATATTATAAAATTCGCAGAACCATTTTTATAGGGAAAAAGGATTTTCCGATCTAAGGAACATTGTCAAAATGCTTATATAGATTTAACCGATTTGCAATACACACAGTTAGTTAGTGTTAATATAAATTTAAGAGCAAAAAGCTTTTCTAGACTAGACTTATCAGATTTGCTTTAGATTGAATTTCTTGTTTCTATTGGCGAACGCTTTACTTCAGTTTTCGGAAAACAATCCCATAAAGTATTCATTAAGTGAACTAAGTATTTATAAATCTTACCTGTATGTATGTAAGTGTGTTTCTTCATGTCACTTTTCTGATGAAATCGTTTACCACAATAATTGCAGGGAAAAGGTCTTGTATCGCTATGTATGAGCAGATGCGTTGACAACGTGCTTGAACGTTTAAAACGTTTACCGCACTGTTTACATTCAAAAACTTTTTCCACATTATGCACGGCTCTGTAATTAAAAATAGAAAGATAATCACATAACACAAATTCTGCAACAGTTAAATAAAAGAGGAAACGCAATACGACAGAAATTAAATAATAATGTTGTCTGTTATGTTGGTCTATGGAGAGAGTCAAGACAACAGCAGTCAAATAAACCAAAGAAAAAATGAATGCTCTTGGAAAACCTCAATAAGCTTTTAAATTAAATATGTACCACCCATGTTTTTGTATATCCATATATATATAAATTTGTTATTTTTGGCTGAGGAGGCCACTTGAATGACTGCAGTATATAGCATGTAGCAGAAATGCAAACATACCTGTGTTGGCTTAGACTAACTTCATGGCCAAAGGTTTTGTTGCATAGTTCGCAGGCATAGGGTTTTTTGCCATGATGTGTACGCCGTGAATGGACTTCGAGACCATGCGGGGTGGAAAACATCTTTTCGCATTTCATGCATGAGTAAAGGTCACTAAATTGAGGCAAGCCAGACCATTTGGCGGCGGCCATATGGTGAAAATGTAAATGAGCGGCTGGGTGCGGCAGTCCCAAACTAGAATTCGGCGGCAAGCCATTGCCACCATGCCCAGCTATTCCCGCCGTCGTCGCTGCACCGTTTTGCGCTGTCTGCAGAGGGACCATTAAGTTGCGTAGTCTGAAGAAATCTTCTTGTGAGGCAGGATGGTAGCTGTGCGAAACATTAGAGACAAAAGAGGAAACATTATTAAAAGGTCTTTCATGCAAGTAGTGGTAATGTAATTAAACAAACAGCAACACGACAAGCAATTGCAACAACATAAAACTCTTACGCAATAACATCATTTAATTAAAATAATCTACATAGTAAACCACAAATATGAAGCCACTTACTTAGAGCTCAAGCCAGATTGCTGTTGTCCTTGATGAAAAGCGAATGCGGCAAAAAAAGGGAACGCGGGCGGTAACAAGGGTCTTTGAAACAAGGCTGCTTCATAGCCACTAGGATAAGCCTGGCGAAAAGCTTCAAAAGGATCCGGTCCATGGGAATGTGCCGCAAGTCGAGATTCGGCTTTGCGGGGATCTTCTTTACGCAGCAACGCTGACACCGAAAACATTTCTGATTTTTTTGGACTTGTCCGAGTACCGCTTAGCACATCCGTTACTGCAACTATATTATTGGCGTTAATGCTAGAGGGTCGCGATATAATTCTAGTTGGCACTGGTGAACTCGGTGGTGAATCGACTTCTAATTCCACTGAACTCGAACGAGACCTTGAACGTGAACGTGATTGTAGGGAAGGTCGGCAATTACTTTCGTCATCATCATCTAAATCTATTTGTGAAGACGATGATCGAGAATGACTACGTGATCTCGAGCGTGATGCCCTTTCGTAATGTTTCGCCTCTTCGAGGGAATCAAGGGCCAATTGTTGATTGGTTTCATGATTATGATGATGCTCGTTAGGTTCTAGTTTCCAATGCAGTATAGAATTTTTGCTTAACATTGAGATATTATTGTTGTTCGTTTCATGGTCCATGATTAATTTTCCACTGACTCCTGGGGCAGTTTGTGTTGCATTTGCTGCTACTGCAGCAGCTGCGGCTGCAGCTACCGCTACCGTATGAACTTGAAGATGTTCAGTTTTTACTAAACGATTTATACTGAAAGTTAATTCATCTGAAAAATAAAAAAAGGATTCTTACTAAAGCCCTCTTTGCGATATAAAAAGCAGTGAAAGAAGATTTCTTTTTGTCTTTGTGTTTCATCCAAATTTCCCTAACTCTAGCTTAATACAGATTCGAATACCCAACAGGCAATTGGTGGACTAACATAGCGCGTCCACAAGAAGTCTTTTGTTTATTAAAAATATATACAATATGCGTAATGATTGTTGGATGGCGTTAAAGGCGAAGAGATCTACTTTAGATCGTGCTTGCTTTTCCATGGAGGACATAAAAAGTTCGCCAATTTTAAGTTCCTACTCTTTTAAGAAACTATTGAAAACCTTTCAAGGAACTAGAGGTTTCAACGATATGCAGATATAAATGTTTATTTCGATATCAAATATAAAGGAATGACAAGAAATTATGCGTAAAGGCTAAAGGATGTTGGGGTGCCTTTTATCCCAAAAAAATGAATCTATTCGGGCTGTGTTTCATGCTCTTGGGATGAAACTCACGTTTATTTAAATGGCTTCGTAAATAGGAAAATTGCCCTTTGAAGTGAATAAAACCCTTTATTTGCTGGCTGAATATGTCATTTTTGAAAATAAAGATGACGTTGCAGTTATCCTCAATAGAGAAAACTACACAAGTATTAATACTGATTCTTTTTGGGCCCCGAATTAGATAATTTGGACTTAGACGATATTTGCTTTGAAGTAAAAGATGCAAAATACCACACATGTCGTGACACAATTAATTTACCGACCGAAAAGTTCATCAACCGCGTAATTTTTAAAAATGCCGACGTGACCTGGCCATCAAGATTTTTTATATATTTATATTATATATATATATATATGTATTTTGCAAGATTATTAGTGTTATTGAAGAAAGAAAAAGGTTTGTGCGGAAAATGGCTAAAAATCGTTTCTCAAACGATCATTTACTTGAAATAATTTTTGAATAAAAAGGAGTAAAAACACTATGGTGGGACGACCAACCACGACGCTTAACACGATTGTTTCTGTAACGATTTTCCAAAATAAGATGTTATCAAAGGTGTTTATCGAAATGTCTCAAAAATTACGGACCGTACATTGAGCACAAAAGAACGCAAGACATACAGACGGACAGATAAAATCAGACCGACCCATTAAGTTATTTCGTATCGGTTGCGAAAACTAATAGGTGGCGCTCTCTCAAGTCCTTCTGGCTATTGAGTACATTCGTTCTAACCTGTATATCACAAACGGGGTTCTGTATAATGATATGGACATAGTATGAACAAAAAGTCATATTATTATTTCCTACTGTTTTTTTCTTATTTCGCAGTGAAAAGAAAAGCTATTACTACTTGTTCACTCTTTACAATTAGCTACAAGTTACGAGGGTAGGCCTTTACATGGAAACAAAATATATATTTTTTGTATTTTAGCAGGGAAATAAACAAGAAAATATATTAAGCAAAGCGGGGTTATAGCGTATTTAATGGTCGTCCTGGCCAGGCTATAACATTTTTACCAGTGTTTTCATTGCCTATTTTACTTCAGAGTATGAAAAAACTAGTTTTAACTAAGGAACTAATTTTTCATAACATTGGTTGGGCGTGAATGATTTTTTCTATTTTTGTTGTTGTTTATGAATAGCGAACAAAGAACAAGCAAAGCAAAGCTGTATGCGTATCGTTCGACCGGCTCTCGATTTTCAAATTTCTTTTGCAAATTTGTGGGCGGTATTGTCGTTTTTGTAAACAGGAGAATGTTTACCACAGATACTACACAGTACACGGATGGACAGATGGGCATGCTTAGGTGCATTCCAAAACTGAAACTGGCCAAGAGTTTATATACTTAACGGGGCTTTTCAAGCTTGCTGCTGAGAATAAATAAAATCAATTTTACTACGCTATCATATAGAGTAGGCGTGGTGAATTTTTCCCATTTTTACAGTCAACAGAAGATATATAGAATTATCTGCTGTTGTTGTTTATTCCTTTTAAAAACACAGGCATTATCTGTTTACGCGGTACTGCAAGCTTGTCTTTCAAACGACTTGGACGGTTTTCAATATCCACTATATGCATGCAAGAAGTCGATATTGGCGGTGCGGGGATGTTTACAAGACTCATTACACCCGCGGGCAGGAGGATATGCTTAAATCAATTCAGAATTTGGTGCTGATCAAGAGTATATCTACTTTGTGCGGTCTCTGGAGCTTCCTTCTGAATTCGGTCCACTGATTGTGGGCCCATCAATGCGGAGCGGCTTCTCTTTTTCCATCCAAATAATATAGCTTCGATATAAGATTAGCAGTTCATTTTCCGGCTAAGCAAATGTTTGTAATTGAAATTTTTCGAAATCCTGGTCTTTCACATTTTCAGGCTTTTCATGTTTATAGAGTTACAAATTGAAATTTTGTCAAAGTTATTTGTGACTCGTTAACTATTTTACATCATTATCGCTCTTAACACAAGACCATAAACACACTAACAATAGTTTAATACATGAAAACACATGTATTGATATGAGTGCACACAAAGCAAACAAAAGCGATAAATTTATCGTACAAAGCTTGTTTTTTGCATTCACCGTCGGTGGGGTGTTGTGTACTAACTTGTCCATTCCGTCAGTTACATGTAATAAAATACAAAGTGAAAGGTATTGTGTACGTATTTTTAATTAGGACGATTATCGATTCAAATCTGTCCGTATCCATGCGATCTTTCTAGCTGATCAGCTTTTTTCCGTCGTTGGGACTCTTGAAGTGGCAGCAAATCAAATAAAAATTTGAAAAATCTGACCCCTGCATACTACATAGTAAAGAATGGCTTAGGATCTAATCTAACCTCAGACATAATCTGTTTGATCTAACGAGTTGAAATTTCGCAGGATACTTTCGACACGAGGGGTTTCGATACATATGCGCCCTGTAGCAGCGGGTATTCAAAATCCAATACAAGCCTTTTTATTTGTTTCAATTTTCTATGTATAGAATTTTCCGCGGGAACCCCTTTTTCACACGTTCGTTAACTTGTTTTTTGTGTGTCAACTGTGAATATATTTGGCGTTGAGACAGCGTGCGATGCGCAAACATACATACGTAATCACATGCGTACATACATACGTACATATAGGAAAACTTATATGTTTACGCTCATACCATTGTTCGTATTATATTATGCTCCATTTATTCGGGTGTGGACGAACAGATGTTCCATTTAAGCGGATATTATTAAGTAGTGGTGTTGTTATGAACAAAACAGGCCCATGCATATGCTCTTGCCCTTGGGTGGATGCTGCCGTATGTTTGACGTGTACACATATATGCATGCGTATGTGTGTTGTGTTTATATTTTGACTGCACATCATGTTGATGTTTGAGAAAATGACGACGCGAACGACGACAAACGTTATTTCCGATGATTTGTTAAGGCGTTTTATATTGTAATTCCGTTCAGTTACGGTTTGATTAGGGTGAAATTAATGGTCATGTAAGGTGGATTAGGCGGATTCAATACAAAAATAATTATGTTTGAAATTCGATACAGATCATATGACGACGAGAACTGCGACAATTGCGACTCCACATACACATATACCTACGTATTTTTGATTCATAGACACAGTAATTCTCGTGGACGAACGGTATGGTTTAACAGGTGGAAAATCAAAAGGGGTTTCTGGCTGTGATTAATGACAATGTGAGAATGGTTCGAGTAAAATATGTTCATTTTGACTTCAATCGTTTTGAAACTTCAAAAAAATTTCCAAATTAATTTTTATTAAAAGTCAACAATAACTCAAAAGCAATCCTTGCAAATTAAAAAAAGAAAAATCTTTTTGTTGGCTCAATACAAAGTCCTTCCTTGGAATTTCGGGCTTTCCTTCAAGTCAGGCGAGTCTCTTGTAGGGAGTTAAAGTCTAACGTCTTGCAGATGTTGTCTTCTGGCAGAGAAAACAAAGTTAATGTAGCTTCATCGAGACGGCCCTTAAATTGATATCAACTTGACAGCGATTCCAAACGTGTCAATGCTTCTACCAATAAATTAAAAGTTTGGAATGAAATTAACTATGAATTCATCTGTAGAATTAGATAGTTTTTTGCCGTTTTTTATGATCTTGGGGGATTGCAGGCTAATTCCAAAAATTAATAAAAGATGTATTACATTACTCTCGTCCGCCAGCCGGTACAAGCTGCCGCTTAAACATGGGCAATATGATGATTATCTGATGAACAAAGTAAGCTATCAACCAACTCTTCCTTTTTTCCCAAAAATTTCAACCTTTATCATCCGATAATAAAAACACTTGCCCATTTGCCTCTTTCCAAGAGTTATATAAAACAGTGTCCATTCTGTTCATTCGAATCTCCTTTTTTTGGATATCTGCAAATTCAGATTCTGTTGCGAAATACTTGAAGAATTTTCGAAAAATTAATTTAAACATCATTTATTAGAAATGCAAATAAGTTCTATGCACTTTTTAATAAAAACTCAAAATTTAATAAAAACATATTTGTTACAAAACTGAGTAAACAAAGTAAGTAGCATCACTGTCTATGTGTTTTTTCCTCTTATCGCTGCTGATTCGCAAAAGCAAACCACTGCACAATATTCCCTTGATCAGAAGAAATTCCCAGCCCAAGGCGAAAATCACTTCCCAGGTCGCTTTTGTTGGAGACGGACGACTATTGACGGACAATCATCGTTCTCAAGACTATAATTTTTGACACGGAATATCGGAAACGACCTTCTAGTTGTTTCAGAGCTCACTGCATTTGCAATACAAGTCAACTTAATTGTTTCCGTAACTCCAGTTGCATCTTTTTCCAACTTGAAACAGAATAAAATGCAGTGCCGTAAACAACGTCCGTCTGTTTACATTTTGATAGACACTGAACGGCGTATTGTAAACAACTGAAGCATATATCGCACAAACACCAATGCCGAAGTTATAGATACACGTGAAATTTCGGAATACAGGGGACATATAGATTTTATAAGGCAACCAATTT